TTGTGAATAAAATGTAAACAAATTTATTAGTTTAATTAGGTAATTTTAATTTCCTTTTTACAATAAATAAAATTAGTTTAGAATTAGGGTTTTGTTTACTAACTTTTTAATTCTTTTTCTTTTTATTTTCATAAAAAACATAAAACATAAAAAAGGACTTTTTCTTGTAAATAAAATACTAACAAATTAATTAGTTTAAATTAGGTTCAATTTTGATTCTTTTTTTAATAAAATAGACTTAGAATTAGGGTTTCTTTTGACTTTTAACTTCTTTATTTTTATTTTCATTAAAAACATAAAAAACATAAAAAACATTTTTTCTTAAATAATTAATTAGTTATTAGATTTAACATTTCATTAATTACAAAAAGGGCAAAACTTAATTTCTTTTCTCAAAAGGGTCAAAAACCCTAGGACGTCCCGGTTCTATTTCTTTTCGCGTATTATTCTTATTTTGATTATTTATGTATCTGCTCAAAGGATGTAATAGTTAATTAGGTTTACCGCTTTCTTTACTTTCCGCATTTATTTTCCAAAACGGGTTTTTGTTTTTGGCGATGTATAGACCCGCGCCTTGTAATAGCTAGATTTACCTTTCCGCACTTTATTTTCTGCAAATCATTTAACTGTTAATATGCTTGCAAGAATGTATGAAAAATAAAACCGATCCGTAGCTCACAAATGCATGATCAAAGATAAACATTAACTGAAAAACAACACACATGCACATGCCACTCCTAGGGTACGCCTCACTCGTTGCCTTCGAACGTGGTCGTCAAGTATAGGGTGTTTTAGAGGTCGCCCTCCTGTCTAAGATCCAGTTGCCTCGAAACGGTTGCCTCGGATAAAAAGGATCTAGGACATTAGGGTTACTTCTAAGGTGTCCTACTATTGCTTCGGTGACCACACTGTCCCTTATAATCGAATTGACCCGAACACCTCCAACGACGGTGCTACCTACTTCTCAATAGTGGGATAGTACTGTTTAAAGGACTCTTACACAGCCTAATTCCTTAGGGTAGGTAGATCTCATGGGTACTTGCTCTCTCTCAAAAACAAAAAAAACATCTTTTCACACTGACACTTTCAAAAGTTTTCAAACAAATTTTTCATACACTCTTGAGGACAGATACAAGAGTTACTTAGAAATTTTTCAAACGAAACTTTTTTTCAAAACCCACACACACTTGAAAAGCAAACATTTTTTGAAAACATAAGAGCAAGTACCTAAGAGCCCGTGGATAACCACGGATAGAAAGGGTGCTAACACCTTCCCTTTCTATAAATCTATCTCCCGAACCGAGAGACATCTCAAAGAAGGAATTTTGCTGTGCTTTTGTCCTTTCCATGTTGGAGAACATAAAAGACGGTGGCGACTCTTGCTTACTGCGACATTTCGCGAACCAGCTTAAAAAACAGTCAGTTCTATTTCCACCGATCACAGTCAAGAATATCCTTCCCCTCCCTCGTGGCCCACCGGGCGGGGAAGAAAATTTCGACATATCGGCAAAGGGTACCATAAGCCTCCTCGTCTTCGGTGCTCATCCCACCCGCGGGCGTATGGTAGTGCCCGGTGCCGTGCTCGTAGTGACGCGAGGTCCAACGCAAAGGAAATTTGGCCACACGCCCTAACACCGGGCGTCCCTCGTCGTCCAGAAGAGCCTCCCCGTGATCGTCAGTCACAACCGTTTCTTCCTCGTATACAGACTCTAAACCCGTTTTGGTAACCGACCGCATGATGTACCACTTGTCCTTGAAGCCCCGGACAGAATCCATGTACATCCTGAACAGTCTCTTCGACTGTTTCAGGGAAACCCAACTGTGCCTACCTCCCCGGGACTGGCGCTGTAAATGGAAGATGCGGAAGAAGAGAGGTATGGTCGCCCCAATCTTTAAAAAGCGACACGTCAGTTCGAACGCCCAGAGGAAAGCGATCGAGTTGGGGTGAAGCTGCGACGGGGCCAGTTCCAGATGACTAAAGACCCCGACCTGAAAATCGCTAAAGGGGAGCTGTAGTCCAAGGTCCTTGAAAGCAATCTCATACATGGGGAACCCGTACTCGGGGAACTCCGAGCAAATCCGCGCGGTAAGAGTCGGTCTGGTGACAACGAAGTTCTTCTGAAAACCGGGCTGACTACCGCCCTGCTCGATGATGGTATACGCATTTCGACTGCGTCGACTATAGGCAGAAGCGATCCCTCTGGGCTCGGCGCCCACCCATTCCAGCAGAGGATCATCGATGGTATCAACCAAATTCACATTCTCCTCGGCACTTTGGTCCTCCGCCTCAGTGCGCCCCGAGGAACACGGTTCGTCCGCCATTGTTACCTACAAAGCACAGGAAACCGGTCAATTGGGGAGCAAATCCACACGCTCGCCATAACGGACGGGAAGAAGGGCACGACAAACCGAGTCACTCCATGCACGACTAAAAAAGTTGGTGTTTCGAACAAAAAGAACAGAGTCACCTCCACGACTCCCAGATACCACGACAAGTCTTCCTACAGATCGCCTAAATGGGCCAACGTCTCGACCACTCACGAATATGTCGACCTAGGCTATGAACATAGCGAGCAATATCATAAATCCTAAAACTAAAGCTATGAGTTTACCGGGCACTACCACGAATTAGGCGCCCTGAATCATGAAGACCCCGGGCAGCACTGCGAGTCAAATACCTAAACTATGCATTTACCGGGCGCAAACATGCGTTTGCCGGGCATAAATATGGATTTGCCGAGCCAAATACAAATCTACCGGGGCTAATCCCAGGCGTACAGTCTCTAACGTCTAAAACGATGAAAAATATCATACATCACAGAGGAAAAGCAAAGGGGACGAGACGCTTACTTGAAATCAGCGACGGAGAACACGGCGGTCCTATGAATATCTGGAAAGAACAGTAGCAGCAGAGGCAGAGGAAGGAGAAGAAGCGCGAAGAGGGAAAACATGTTCTGGGGCCCAAGGACCCTATTTATAGTGATGACGTAGAATACAAAACGTCACCCCGGGGAACCACAGACTTCCCTCCTCGACGCATAGCTCCCCTAGGCAATGATGACCCTATCTTCAATAGGGTGGCGGCACAGTTCCCAAGAGATGCCTCATGTGCTCAACAAACACAGCCCGTCGAGAGTCCCCCGAGCACTCCTCGAAAGGAATTATCTCACGGGCGCGACACGGGGGAAACTCCTCGAGTAACCACGGGGAACTACATCTCTTGTCCGGGCACGGGACCCCGCGACGGAGGCGACCTAAGATCAAGTCATGGCTCATACTCCAGGAACCACGACTTGGGGGGCTCCTGTTCTGGACTGGGCCGGGTTGGCCCAAAAGCAAGGATGAAGGCCCAATCCAAACGGCCTTGCAGGGGGTCGCGCCGACCAAGAAGCCACAGCCGTGTCCGACACTCTCCGCTAATACGACATCCTCGACTTCATGCAGTCCAGCTCGACCTCAGCTCGAGCGTCCCTCGTAGGGCAGACTACGACCACTACACCATCACCTGGATTCCGAAAAGACCGCGTCCTCGTCCGTCCGTACTTCTCGCAGAACATCCGGGAAGGAGACCACGTGCGGGTCTCCACTACACACGTAGAACCTGACAGTTCCTTCATTAGGCCAAACCTGCTCGGCCCAATGAAGGGACCTTGGCCCAGCGCTGGGGGCTATAAATACCCTCTGTTCCCAGAGGGTCAGGTATTCATTCTCTTACCCATACTCATACTTTTTGCCTGCTCGTACTCTCACTCACTTTAGCATCGGAGTGCCTTGCAGGTACCCCCATCTTGTTCAACTTCAGCTCGGAGTCAGTCGTGACGGTCCAAGTCTGATCCGGTAAGATCAATTATCATTAAATATTCATTATTTTAAACATTCATTAAAAGTATTTAATTAATATTTATTATTTAAAAACTTAAAATAATAAAATAAAAATAAAGTGAAAATAAAAATAAAATTGAAAGTATTAAACATTCATTATTTTAATATTTAATAATTATTATTAAATAAAACTGAAAATAAAAATATTTAATAAAATAAATAAAATTATTAAATATCAAATTATTAAATAAAATGAAAGCATTAAATAGGAAAAATATATTTTATAATTTCATTAATAATAAATTGGAATAAAAAAAATTATGTATATATTTAATGAAATTTAATTTGTTTATGTGTTATAACGTTAAATATATAATAGTGTTAATTTAAGTATTAATTTATAAAAAATTCCATCAAATTATTTACTTCATACATATTTAATAGCAAAATGTTTATGTTACAGCAAAATAGTGTATATATTTACTTCATTCATAATTTCATCAAAATAATTATGAAACAACAAAATGTTGTATCTTATATATTTAGTCCAAACATTTATACAATGGATACAATTAGTCCAATGGATGGGAATAGCGCCTGCATGCAATGTGTTCACTGTGTATTAGAAGGATTCAAAATGAAATAAAAATGAAATATGTATTTTTTTTATAGGTTGTTTTTGAGATTGGTTACATATGACATTAGAGTAAATAGTTATTAACCGTAGTATTAATTATTTAATTGCAATGATTCTCTCATATCCAATGGTATGTTACAACTGATAAATTGGGATACTTGACCATCAATTTATTGAATGAATCGTATTTTGTAAATATTAGTATAATTTAAAAAGAATCATCATAGATTCAAACTTGGGGATCATTGACAAATTAGTATACATACATATTCTCTCATAAAAAAATAAAATAAAAAAATAAAATTCTCTACAAAATTTTCATATGCTTTTCACTCAACCAAAAATTGACAAATTAGTATACATACATGAAGATGTTATTCTTTACAAAACTTTTCCAATACAAAATGTAAAAAAATCAAGGTGTTTAGAAGAACAAAAACACAATCAAATTAATCTCAAAACTTAAGAACTTTTCTTTCTTAAAAAAAAAACGAAATTCTCCGACACCTTTTACACACAATAAATTTCCTATAGCTATGACTCACAAATTTATTGTCACACCTCTTGCACCATTAACATAAGGTGAAACTCCAGTGGTACCAGGATTTAAGGAGCCATGCCTAGTTGGATCATATTTTTCTCCATCACCCCAAAGAGCATAAGCTTCCTCACCGTGAGCCGCATCGTCTCCGATCTCGAGGTGCTCGTCGGGCATTCTCAAAGGTATGAACAATTGTATAACAAGGAGAATGATTGTGGTGGAGACTATGTTCCATCCAATAACAAACATGGCTGCCACTAATTGCTTTAGGAATTGTACACCACCACTTCCACCATAGAATGCACCTCTCGAATTGGTCACCGGCAATACTAATCGACATAGGGCCGGCTCGGCCAAGAGTCCGGTGAGGAGGCCGCCTAATAGGCCAGCCACAGCATGCGTGTGAAATACTCCAAGAGTGTCATCAACCTTAATATAAACAATAACCAAAGTCTCATTTTCGTTACAATTTGTTTATTAATCTTTTTCACATTATTTTTTGTAGGAAAATCATTATATTGATTAAAAATAATATATTTTAGACAAAAAAATGGTTGTTGGAAATTGGAGTCAAATGGTATATCCTGGGGCCAGTGGTCAATTTTTCCAACATTGAATGTGGATATACAAACACGTGAGCTAGAAAAAGGGACCTTCCCCTAAGCTTCATCCATTAACATGGGAATCTTATCAAATTATTCATGTAATATTATAAAATGATTGACAATTACTATTATTTTATAAAATATCAATGGTGTTTGGTCAAAAATGATAAAATATCAATGGATGTGTCATCTATTATGAATCAAAGCATATTTTTAAAATATATTGCATTTTGTATTTATAGAACATATATTTTTATAAATGAAAGAACGACAAGAGACAAAAAAATCAAATGAAATTTATTAAAGATAAAGAAGACAGAGTCTTTTAGAAAAAAGATATAAAGAATAGATGGAAGAAATATAATTTATTTAGTAAAAGATATGAGATGTCACTAAACTCTAACGAGCTAGATATTAGAGAATATGATCAAAAGTATAATTATTATCGGTGAATTCAGAAATACGAGGTAAAAGAAGCGTTGAAAATAATGAGTAATAGCAAGATGGTTGGGCCAGACAACATATCTATGAAAGTGATCTTTCTACTACGCCATGTGATGGATAGGTACATATGGATCAATAAGAATTAACTTAGTTTTTATTGAATTGGAGAATGCGAATGATAGAGTGTTTAGAAAGAATTTGTGAAAAGCCCTAGAGAAGAAAAATGTTATGATTGCCTATATACAAGCTATCTAAGATATGTATGAGAGAGTCTCATGTGAGGACACAAGATGAAGAAAAAAAATGATTTTTTCCTAACAAATGATTGTATCAAGGTTCAATCCTAAGTTCCTATCTTTTTTATTTTAGTTTTGAATGTACTTTCATAACGCATTCAATAGTTAACATTGTTATGTATGTTTTTTTTTCCTTTCAAATTGATATAGTTTTACAGAGAGTCAAAGTAAGAGTTAAATGAGAGGTTGTAAACGGCCCTTAGAAGCGTATGATTTTCACCTAAGGAGAAGTAAAATAGAGTAAATGAAATTTAAGTTTAATTAAATGAGAAGTGTTTCTAACCTAAAAGTGAAAGTTAAAGATAATATCATACTATAGGTTACACAATTTAAATATTTTTGATCCATAATTCAAAACGATGGGAAAATAAAAGGAAACGTAAACCTTTGAATTCAAGATTGATGGTTGAAATGGAGGAGAGACTTATTGATTTTATGTGACACGAAAGTACCATTAAAACTGAAGGAGAAAATTTATCAAATAGTAGACCAACGATGTTTTACAGAATGAAATTTTGAATGGTCAAGAATCAATACAAAAAGAAAACAAGTGTAGCAAAAATAAGAATGTTGCATTTGACATGTGCTATGATTAGACGAAATAAGATTAGAAATGACAATATTAAATAGAGTCTTGAGGTATCACCCATTTTATAAAAGATGGAATAAACTTATGTGAGATTTGTGAGATTTATGCATGTAGAGAAAATGCATGTGAATTATGTAGTAAGGAGAATATATTGAATAGAAGGTAGTCAAACAATTAGAGATAGATAAAAATCTAAAAAAGTCATAAAATAAACTATTAGAAAAGATTTTGAAATTTAAGAATAAGATTTGATTATTGTTGGTTTTTCATATATATATATATATATATATATATATATATATATATATATATATATATATATATATATATATATATATATATATATATATATATATATATATATATATATATATATATATATATATATATATATATATATATATATATATATATATATATATCAATTGAACTGATTTAATGAAATTTATTATTTATTAATAGTATTTACATTATTTTGAAGTCATTATAGTCTACTAAATATTTAGTACAATGACAAGTCAATTAATAATTTTATAAAATTAAATTATTTAGTTAATTTATAATTATAATTTTTAAGTTGTAGGATAAAAATTACTCCTCTATAATAATAAATAATATATCCATAAATTTTATTTTTTTAAATTTATTGAATAATTAATATATTTGATCAATATATATATATATATATATATATATATATATATATATATATATATATATATATATATATATATATATATATTAGATACATTAATTATTCAATAAATCTAAAAAATAAAATATATTTATAGAAAAAGCATTCTAGAAGAGAAGAAGTACAAATAGTAGCCACCACCATTTCACTAGCATTACTATTTTTAAAATAAACTTTTGACTTTAAGGTGAGTTATCTATTTTCAACTAATCTTTGTTCACATTAGAGTTTAAACGTCAATTATTCACTTAAAAATGTGTGAATCCCTTATCACTTGAAAGAATCACATGTGTGTAAACCAAAACATAATTAAGTCATAATGAGTGACTAAAATTGACAAAAATTGAATGTGAAGAGAAAGAGAAAGTGTACCTTTTGTAGAAGACTTGATTTTTTATGCAAGATCATCATGGATACCCACGGAATGCTCCCTGATAGTATTCCCATCACAATAGCTGCCCACGATTGCACAAGACCTACATCATCATCATCATGCATTTATTGTCAACAAAAACTGCTTCTATAGTCACTAGTGGATTCATTATGATACTAGCCGCTTTTTGTTGCCAAAATATTAGTGTGTCCAACAAACATTATTTGAGTAATAAATGTTCAAATCCAACCATATACAAGTACTTTCTTCAATTGTATGGAGTAACATAAAATTCATGATCACAATCTTATCATGTGTCCATTGTGTCGTTTAAGGTTAATTTTATAAAAGTATAATGTTTTATGACAATATTATTGCATTTTTTAATCAGTGTATAAAAATCTTAAACGACAGTCATTTTAAAATAGAACAATTACATTATAACAAATAAGATTACTAATGGAATGTATAAGTTAGTTAGTTAGATGGGTTGATTAGTTACATTTTGTTACAAGTTTGTTAGATTGATTAGTTAGTTAAAATTTGTTATAAATTGATTAGTTTGTTAGTAATGTCTTACAATTTTTATATTTAGAGCCTTTCATGAAATAATTTTCTATCATTTTCATTCTAATTCAATAAAACAAGTATTCACCAACAACAACAACAAACTAATGCATATTCACATACCTGCTCCTGGTGTGATACACACAAGTCCAGTCATCATACCCTGAACAGCTCCAATCACAGAAGGCTTCCCAAAGAAAATAACATCAAGAGTTGTCCAAACAAGAAGACTAGTTGCTGCACAAATGTTTGTGTTCAACACAGCAATTGAAGATACAACATTTGCTGCATATGGTGCTCCACCATTGAACCCTGACCACCCCATCCATAACAATCCAGCTCCCGCAAGCATCAGCAACACATTGTTTGGTGGAAACCTTTCCCTGTCACTCTTTATCCTTGGTCCAACCTGCACATACAATTTGTTACCACAATTAAAAAACCAATTTGCCACACCAAAATTAGCTACAAAAATTCCAATTCATAACTTCAATAATCACAATGTAATTGCAATTATAGCTACATAAATTTAGAGAACTCGAATTCAAATCCAGTTTTGAACAATCTTTAGTCACAAGATTGTTAACATCTAATGGGATTCGAACTCAACACCTTGAAACTCAGGTCTCAAGTCTTCACCAGCAGCTCAACCCTATTTCTGATTATTAGAGTCGATTTTCTTTGTGAATCAGAAGATAAACTTTGTAAGCAAAATCAAATCAAGGGTAATGAAAAAAAAGCATAAATTGAAGTACCCAATAAGCAGCAGTGAAACCAGCAATCCCAGAAGATAGATGAATAACATAGCCACCAGAGTAATCAATAACACCCCAATGATAAAGAAACCCCCCACCCCAAAGACTAAAAGCACCAACAGTATAAGAAAAAACAAGCCAAAGAGGAACAAAAGCCATCCAAGCTTTAATATTCATCCTCCCAAGAACCGAACCCGCCAACAAAATCATAGTAATCGCCGCAAAAGTAAACTGAAAATACACAAGTGAAGCCATAGGGAAAAACGGTTCTTCCATCTCTGTCTCAACACGACCATTCTTGTAATAATGAGTACTCGCAGGTACTCTTGCTCTTCTAACCAGAAACTTCTGTCCTAAAGCAGGTCCTCCTTTACCCCAAAAGGGTAACAACTTTTCACCAAAAGCCATTCTGTAAGCCACAAGTACCCAGCAGATTAAAACCGCCGCAAAAGCGTAAAGTGCCATGAAAGCTGAATTCACAGCCCATTTCTTTTTCACTATGCTGGCGTAGAGAATCACCAGTCCCGGCATGCTTTGGAGCCCAACAAGTGTGGCTGCTGTCATCTGCCATGCGTTGTCTCCTTTGTTTAGCCATTCTGGTGATGCTGGAAGGTTTCCTTCGTATGCTGGTGCCATGGCCATGGTTTTGAGTTTCGAGTCTCTCAAAATATCAATCTTACAACACTTTTCCTTTGAGTTTCCAAATTTTAATCAACTTTTGTGGGATATATATGGTTAATTATAGAGTGAAATTGATTTACATGGAGTTCAAAACTTGAATACTTTGGGTTGAATATTTGGAAACTACGTGTAAACTCGTGGTGGGTTCTCACAACAACTTGGAGTATTTTAACTTAATCTAGAAAGTAAAGTTTTTGTTTTTTTTTTGTTTCTAAAACTTTTGACTTTTTGTTGAGAATAATGGGTATGGTTTCGGAACACAAGGGGAATTCGAATTGTAATCAACTTATTAAAGAGTGAAAAAAAACGTTTTTTTTTGTAAGATATTTTTGTTTTACTCATATAATTGTAATTTATGTTTAATTCATTTTTATAGAATTAATTTTATAAAAGTAATTTATTGAAAATCAAATTATATCATCAAAGAACCGAATATATATTAGTAATACATTAGACATAACTTGTACTCTAACTTTGATCACGAGTGTTACATTTATATAACATAATTTATAAAATATTTTAAAATGAATATCATTTTTAATTTTTCATCGAATATTTTCATTATTCTGTTTCATCTAATTGATTTAAAGTTTGATTTTTAATAGTATTGTTCTATCAACTATCTTATCTCAGAAAACTAACTACCTATGTTAATCTTTTAATATCCTTTTATTATTTGCAATAACACTAACAATTGTTCATTTTGGTAATTAACTAATAAAATTTATCAGTTCTCTCATTTCTATTATGTCATTTGGTACCATTTCATTTCATTTAAAATTATTTTAACTTTTCTGATTTCCTTCTCACAGCAACCAATATTACTCACTTTCTCTCTACTAACTTCCTTCTCTCCACTTCAATCATTCACACTCTTCTTTTTCTAACCATGATGCCAATTATCTTCCGTTTCCCCTTCACATTTTTCTTCATCTTCAACCCTTCTTCTTTAGAGAAAAACTAAGGTAATAAACTATGTTCTTGTCTAGTTTAAGCTCATTCTCGGATTATGCTATTTTCTGCAAATCTTTTATTATCTATGTTATGGCGATTTCTCATATCTATGAGGTATCTAGGTAGAAGTTGCACTGGATAGGGATTAGACGAGAAGTTGTAAACGGGAGAATTTAGCTTTGAACTAGTACCACTGATAGTAGATTTCCTTTTTGGCTTGGTGAGTTTGCACCGAATTGGGTTAACATATCGTTGTGTTCTTTTACTTATGTAAATTTTAAATTTTGCATTGTTATTGTCCTGTTGTTATTCTATCAGCATATGTCATAACATCTGTCGTGATATTGTACTTGTACGTTGATGGATCACTCTTGACATCTATATTGTGTGTGCCAGAATTTCAATTGACATCAGAGCAGGTACCATGTTCTGTCTATTGGATGAGCTTTAGGGAAAATATCTTCTGGCATATGGATTACAAAGGTGAACGGTTGGATAGACCACATATGTTAAAGGATAGAGATTATGCTTTTTGAAAAGTTGGGATGATAACTTTTTTAAAAGCCATGAACAGAAAATCTTGGTAGGTTATGATGAAAGGATGGAGTCATCCTGTAGTGAAAGACAAAGATGGGATTGAGTCTTTGAAGTCAAAGGAGGATTGGTCCAAAGAGAAAAATAAGTTAGCTTCTACAAACTCCAAAGTCTTGGATGCTCTACTTCATGGAGTAGACAAGGATGATCTCAAAAAGATAACTATTTGCAGTACTACTAAAGATGCATGGGATATTCTCATGACAAACTATGAAGGTGATGAATCCTCTATGAAAGAGCTTGTCGATTCAGTTATTGTCTTAACAGGAAGGTGCAATTCTATGATAGAAGATAGTTCTTATGTTGAACTATTGATGTCCTACAAAGATTTGTACAAAAGGGTTAAGTAAGTATGTCAAAAAGGAGTGAAACAAAGAATGATGATAGTCAAACTTCAGACTGAAAGGGATGAATACCTAGCTGATATTGCTAACCTTAAAGCAAAGGTAACCTTGTTAACATCTAAACTTGATAACTTAATCAAATGTGTTAGAATATTAAACAGTGGATCTGATGCGCTGGATGAAATCCTACAAGAAGTAGAAGAAGGCAGAAGACATACTGACATATAGTTTAACTATAAATTCTTGAGAAACAAAGGGAAAATTTCTGAGACAAAATTTGTCCAAGCTAGAAGGAAGGAAGAAAGTGAGATATTTTATCAAATGTCATAATATTCTGCCAGACCACATGAAGTTCAGACAAAAGTCCAGATGCAAATTGTTGTACCCCAAAATTTGCCCTCCCATATTTCTCAGTACATGGCAAGTGAGGTCCCCAAATTGCTCAAGGAAGTTCAAGAGTTGACCAGACAAACTCTCTCCTAAGGCAGTATACCTCCAATTAGGGTTTCTATTTTCGTCAAGATGTATGAACCACAAAGGACTCAAATGCTCATAATTGTCCTAATATGTTATCAAGATCATCCATGTCAAGTTTCAAGCCTTGTAGAAGAAGTTTGCTCAGTCAATTGCTCAAATGCCTGAAAATCAACTATAATAGGTCAAAAGTCAATTGTGGCCGACATACAGTCAAACTTCAAGATTTTTGGTCAACATCCTCATTTTTAAGTATTATTCATCATTTGATCAAGGATTGATCATTATTCCTCAAGGATTGCTCACAATTCATGAAAATCCAAAAGTTGCTAAATTAGGGTTTTGTAGGAAAAGTCAACTCAACTTTGACCAAGCGTAACTTTCTCATACTTTATCAGAAATGACTCATACAAAGCTCATTTTGAAGAGGATGAAATTACCTAAAATTCATCTTCAGCTCCCAAGTTCAAAATAAGCACTCATAAAAAGATATGAATTTTAACATTATAGGTCCTTTTGAAAAGTCAACAAAAACACCTTTTGGGTCAAAGCTTCATACATGAACATGGAAGACTAAATTGAGATGAGACCAAAAGGGTTGCTTAGAGGACATACTAAGCTTTCTAAAAAGTCCAAGAACACCTCTCTAGGGTCAAAATTGAGAGAGTTATGCATTGGCCAAGTTGACCATTTTTGCAAAATTGCCAAAAGTCAAATATGCTCAAATTTGTATTTTTTTTGCTAAATAGGCACAACTTTTTATGCTTGCACCTCAATTATAATGTGGTCCACGACTCAAATGTTCACTCACTCATACTGTGCTTCATTTTTCAATTTATTTTGATTTTTTATTAATTAAAAAGTGAATTAAATCAAATAAATGATGAAAATTAACAAAGATATGATTTGATTTGTTTTTTGACAGATTAGCAACCAAGATATGCTGAGTTTACATGATCAAATCGAATCAAGTACAATTGGTACAAAAAGAGCATGATTGGCATGAAAATAGAAAGATGTGATATGGCTTAAAAATCAAATATTCCATTCATGAATTCTCAAGATCAGATCTAAGTTTGTTAACCTAATTCATTCTAGGTAATATAATGAAGCTTGCCAGATCAAAAAACAAGGGTTAGAGGTCGTGTAAAACCAGAACAAAACTTGAAAATTTCCAAGAAAAGTGTGAGATGAATCTTCTTCCACATGCCAATTCAAGGTGTGCTGAAGGTTCCAATCGCTTGCTAGACATCCCAGGAAGCTATTCCAATCACTCCCAGGGCCTGAAACACTCAGAAACGCGCGTTACGCCCCCCACAGTTTGACATATTTTTGCAATTAGATTATCATAATTCTTGCATCTTTAGCACTTTTAATTGTCATAGTTGTGATTATTATCATGTTTGCAAGCTAACAGATTGGTTTAATTGCATTTTTGAAGCTTACATGCGCATCTGCCATTGTTAGGGTTTTATGTTCTTGTTTAGGGGTTTTCAGTATAGGCAAAATTAGACTTCGAATCGGGTACCATGATGCTCGTGAGGATGAGACGAGTTGATTGGTACCCTTACCTTTCATTTATATTGCTTGTATAGGATTTTGGAATGTCACAAGTTTGTAGTTACAGTAAAGTGTCTGTAGGTAAAAGTGCCAGAGTCTAAAACGACGGAGAGAGGAAGAAGACACTGGCGTGTCAAGCAGCCACTCGTCCATTTGAATATTTGCGCCTTGGATTCAGTTCCTTTTTGCTTTTCTTATATCATGCTTTATTGTTATTATAATAGCAAGTTAACAACGCAGCACAACTGACAAGCGAGCACTAGAAGCGAGCATAAGGACCTGGGTTCGATCCCCAGGTCCCAACGTTTTATTTGTATTATTTTCAGTTAGCTGATCCAGCGCGTTGCTCATCATGACGTCCACCATACAACCTCAACATCCATCCTTTGATCCAGCGTGCCATCAGATCCAACGCCCAGGTAACAAGGGACCACCATACACCTCAAGTCAACACCCACACCAAATCAAGCGTGGTCAACCAGGCCTGGAGCATTTTGGGCCTAGAAAATTCAACTTCCAACCCCTAGATTTGGTAACACACATGCCCATTCTTTCTTTTACTTTTTTTTTATTTCCTTATTTAATTATTTTGCTTAATTTATTTTTCTCATAAAAATAAATCAAATATTTTTTCATAAAATCATAAAATTAAGAATTCACAAAAATTTGAATTAGTTTTTTTATCAAATTTAATTTAATTAATTTAATTTAATTTAGAGAAATTTTAACTTATTTTTACAATTAAAATCAAATAGAAAATTAGGTTAATTCTTGATTTAATTTTTTCTCTTTTTCTCAAATAAGAAATAAAAAATAAAAAAATAGGTTATTTAGAATTGATTAATTTATTTTCAAAAATTAACGTTAATTAGTAATTAGGGTCCTTTTTTTTAATTCAATCATTTCGTTATTTTCTGAAACAACAAAAACATGACAAAAACATTTTTTTAATCAATCGCAAATAGGATTAGTCAAAGGGTCAAAACCCTAATCTCCTTGCATTTAATTCGCCGCGCGCTTTTTATTTATTTTGCC